CGACAATTTCCTCTGCATTTTCCTTAGCACACTAACCAACGCCACATTGTAAAAAGGTTTAACTTTGTTATGTTGTATACTGAAGCTATTTTCGTTTGTTAACTCCAATTCAGTGTTCACCATTATGAATACTCCTCAAATGCTCAATATAAAATTTATTTAATTAATTTGATTAGATTAATAAAGTTAAATAAGTTACTTGATTATAATGACATTTTTTTTCAAAACACCATAATTATTTTTCTTAATATCATCCTTCCTTTCCTACTTAATTATAGTTAAGAAAGTATCAATAGGGATGATTTAGAAAAAAATTAATAAATAGGAGAAATATATAGGTGTTTTATGTAGGATCAAAATCAACTTAATAATTATGTCTTACATTAAAAATTGGAGGAGTACTAAAAAAACTAATAAATTTTATATCAATTTATATGTTAGATAAAATTATTTTGAAAAAACAATAATAAATATGAAAGATAAAATAAATTAAATTCTTAATTTTGAGTCAAAAGTACCTATCTAACTAATTTTATATTTAAAATCATAGAGGTACTATAAGGAGCCATAGACTTTTTGGTGCTGTGTGGGGAAAAAAAAAACTTTGCATGTATTCTCTAAACTTGTGGGTATGCCTTAGTCTTGATGAGCTCTTAAGATCTAATTCATTTAAATTTTTTGTATATATATAAAAAAAAAAAAGGTTCTTCTTACAATATTTACAAGGATAGGTTCCATGAATAATTAAATCCCTTCGATCTTTGATCACAGTATTACAAAAATAGGTAACAAAACTTCTTTAAAAAAATTAATTTTGTCGCAATTCTATTGTTAACTACATGGTTAAATTTAGCGATAAATAAATTTCTGTTCTTAAATCCGTCAAAAAATTATTCTTCTGTAAAACTTAGTAATAAAAAATTTTCGTCATTATTTTGCAAAATAGTTAGGGACGAAAATTAGCAATGGTAATTTTTCATTGCTAATTCCATTGTAAAACAATTAACAACAGAAATTAATGACCAAAATGTTTATTGTTAACTTTAAGGATAACCAATTCCAATTTTACAATGGAATTATCAATAAAAAATATATGTCGCCTAGTTGGAATAGGTTATCACTGAAATAAGTGAGAGAATTTGACATTAGTGTCGGAAATATTAAATTCCATGCATAGATAATTAGCATCAGAATTTTTGGTGCAAATTTCGTCACTAAACTGATTTGTGATGAATTTTTCATTGCTTGGTCAAGAAATTCTGTTGCAAAATTCCTTTGCTAATGTGCTATATCTTTCTTGTGTTGACTCAATATCATTTCCACATTTAATATTTAAGGCTATATATTCCTCCGGTCTTTAATATAAAACCTATTTATATAATTTGATTAGATTAAGAAAGTTAAGTAAAGTAGTTAATTATAAGAAATATGACATTTTTTCTAAAACAACGAAATAGTCTTTCTTAATATTCTCCCTTTTTCTCTTATTTGATTATAATTGAGGGAGTATTAATAGGGCATAATTTAGAAAAAATTAGTAGATATGAGAAATAGGTCTTACATTTAGAATCAAAATCAACTCAATAATTAAGTAGTCCTCCGGTCCTTAATATAAGACCTATTTAACTAACTTGATTAGATTAAGAAAGTTAGGTAAGTTAGTTAATTATAAAAAATATGACATTTTTTCTAAAACACCATAATCATCTTCTTTAATATCTTCCCTTCCTCTTCTACTTAATTATGGTTGAAGGAATATCCATAGGGATAATTTAGAAAAAAATTGATAAATATAAGAAATAGGTCTTATATTTAGGACAAAAAATAACTGAACAAAGGTCTTATACTAAGGACCGGAGGAGTATTATATTAAGGAGTGGAGGAGTATTTTCTTTTGTTAGCTCCAATTCACGTGTTCGCCAATATGAATACTAGATTTTGATTAAAATTTTGTGGCATTTGAAACAAACTTCAATGTAGGTTGTCCTAGGTCCTCAACATGTATCTTAATGTTGAATCAAGTACTTATAATTCATTTTATCTAATTTATAGACTATGAAATTTTGTTTATAGTAATGCATGAGTGTTACAACAATGTTAAATGTAATGAAGGATATACCATAAAATTCATGTAATTCTATAAATAAAAATTAATGGTATTAAAACAGTTTTTACGCTCAAGGGTTAATACGCCCAAGAAAATATCTACATTTTTTGATTTTTAATTTTTTTTATGAAGAACATACACTTATCTACAAAACATAAAGTTAACCCAATTACGTTGGTTTTTCTGGAACATTAAAGAAATTGCACAAGTCTCACCTGAGAGTAATCTTGAGTAAGTGATTTTATGATATTTATTTTTCCTTCAATTCCTTCCTCTGTTCTCCTGTTAACTATTTTTCTCTATGCAGTGGTTGTCATCTCATTTTTATTATCTTAACACTGCCTTGGCTCCTAAACATAAAAGCTAGTCCGAGATTTATTTTGGTTTTAAATTTAAAATCCCAATTTACTTTGTTCTTCATGTTTATTAATTTTTTCTTGAAGTAATCCTTATAATTATTAGACATGTTAAAAGATTTTGGATCTAGTACACATGATTAATAAAAGCATTTTAGAAAAGATAACACTTATTTATTATAAATAACTAATATAACTAATTTTTTTAGTATTCATGAATTAATTATTTGGCTCTTGTATTAAAGATAGGAGTACATTTCTTATTTCTCGTGCGTGTTAAAGATTTCACATATAAGAAATTATGGTTTTGAGCTGATTTGCGACGCCACACATTGATCTCACCATGCTCTGTGGCTCAATTACACAAGCCATGTGTTTATGCGTTTATGTTATTTCGTTTAATTTTGTATGTATCGTAAAAATTACTCACTTATTTATTTTAATTGTGCGGTATTGCTTTTTCAATAATTATTTGATCCTTCAGTTATCCATCCTTACTTATACGTAGTAACTTGCGATGTTGTATTTGTCTTGTTCCCTTACCTTAAAGCAGAGAAGATCGAGTGAATTACAGAACAAGTCCCTCAAACTCCTAGAACAGAACGCAATTTTATTACAATGATTCTCTGTAAAACTTCTAAAATTTATGATATTTGCCTTAGTCCGAGAACTGGGGCCAAAAAATAAATTAAATCTTCCATGCATCGAATATTATATATATGTGTGTGTATGTAACTTGACAAATTTGCTCGTCAAATGTATTAGAATCGTATGCCTCTAGGCCAGACTCCTCTGTTTTTCAAAGCAGAGGAGGATGACACTGCTTATATATATACCTATAGAGTTTTATAAAATTATAAAATTATACCTATCCATTTAAAGTAAATATACACATTAAAAAAGTATAATTTAAAAAATACCTTTTTGGCAAAAAGAAAAAGATAAGTGTTTACCAGTACTTTTTTTTTATAGTGAAATTGTAAGAAAATTATTTTTAATATTACGATGTGTTACTTCATTTTTTTTTCTTCTCAATGTTCTTTTCATGCATCACATAAGGCATTACATTCATATTAATATTTTGCATACAACCAGGCATTTCAATTAGCTCACGTGGCAAAAATACAGAAGAATATGAGTTATTATCAAGGATTTAAATATATGCTCCCAAGCACTAGCATTGGGCATGCAAGAATGGAATTTTAAAAGGACAAAAAACAGAGTCAACTTTAAATCCCCCCGCAAAAACATTCCCTTTTTTTTTTTTTTTAACATTTTGGTAACTAAGATGAGGAATATCTTCAATTTATAATAAAAACTAATTCCCCCGAATCCTATTTATATGCACTTGTTAATAAATTTATGTAATTTAAATAAATTAGTTAAAATTAGTTATTTTTTGGCCAAAAAAATTAAAATTGTCTTTAATAAAAGTCATTAGTTGGAAGAATTTGTTTAATCAATTAGAAAATCTTATAGTTAGTTGGGGATATTAAGGAAAAAAATTAATGCTCCAAACAAAACATGTTATATTACAAGGAAAATTGCTTATCAAGCATGGAAAGAGAAATTTTATAGCTGCAAACAACGTTAAACCTGTAACCTTCCATTTTTAAACCCGTTGCCTCTATCCATCTTTCTTTTTATTGTACATGTTGTAAATGTAAACGTTTTTAAAAATGGAAGACAATCAACGTCGGCAGGAAACTTGGGGAATTACATATATACCCCCAAGTATGCTCCTTTATTTTTGACGTCAAGGTCACCATATTGCCCTTTTGTGTAATTGATGAATTTGCCTCACTCACTTATGCGATGTCGTTTTCAATATCCATTCAAGAAATGGGGAAAAACATAGCTTTAGCATTTTTGAAATGACAACCACATGAGAACGAATTCAATGATTCGTGTAACATTTTGTATTACAAGACACGGAGAAAACAATTATGTGCTAGAGAATGGCTCCCACCAACGCAAGCTTCTCTCATATACATAATCATATTTGGGAAAATAGTAAAATAATGCCATTAGAAAAAATGTTTTCTGCAAACTTTTCATTAAAATAAATCCTCTTTTCACAAAATAGCTTTAAAAAGGAGAATGTGTGTGTGTGTGTTGATCAATTACTTCAAAAGGCAAATGCAAAACTGAGACACTAGAGAACAACTATGTGGTAGAGAGTGACAATGGCCTTTTGTGTGTGTGGGTGGGAGTGAGCATGGAATATGTATTATATGAGTCAGATAACCCTATGTCACTTGTAAATCTTGCTTTTTTTTTTATTCTGCAAAAATAGAATTTGTACACATTAATAGCTTTTTTTAACATCATTTTTCTTGAAGGAAATTTCTTTCGAAGTTTTTTTTTTGGGGTGCTTCAACCAACATCCCAGTCGATGTAAAGGGAATCATAAAGTAATCAAATTAGTGATCATATACCAGTTGATATATCAGTTGAATCAGACGATCACCTAATATTTTTAACATCTCAAGAATAACATCCTGATAACAGAGTCATACCCTTATTCTTTGTAAAAGTTTTGTGATGTTTGATGATCACAGACTATAAAATCATTGAAACATCTTATACACTTAAAATAGAAGAAATGTCAATATCCAATTTTAATGGACTTGAAGAGACATTCTAATATGTAGTATTTCGAGAGCAGGGAAAATTGTCTAGTCGTCATCACATAAAGTGTCCTCATGATAGCTTCAACTTTGGAAAGCTGTTAGTGTCATTCAAGTGAAATCCAAGCAGAGGGCCTTCAAAGCAGGAAGATTAAAGCACGCCACATTATGTTGATTCTCCTTTGATGACAGATCCTCATGATGGTATTTCCCCACAATCTATCTTAGCTCATTAGCATCTTTGATAGCCCCAGACCTTAAATTTTCAATTTCTATAGATATTGTTGATGGAAATAAAATTTCAAAGTTCTTGCACTCGATTTCTAATTTCTGTAACTTCGAGAAAATGTACCAATAGTATTCATCCATTTCAATTGCAAACCATTTTTCTTCTTGAAATAATTAACAATGTATAACTGAACGAAAATAGTGAGACAATTGTAGCATACTAGTGGCTTTATATGGTCAGGCGATCTATGTTCAGAAACAAAAACATTATTCTTAACAAACAAACACCAACATCAAATTCTTTTCTGTCTACCAAAAAAAAAAAAAAATTCTTTTCTGTCTACTCCAACATCAGGAGTCCACTTTTAAATAAAGAGTTTATGCATGAACGGGGAGCAATCTTGTTGGGAAAAACTCAAACTTCAACTGCACCTAATTTTTATGTGTTACATAGTCCATAGAAATACGAAGTCTTTCATATAAATAAAAACCCCCAAAAGGCCTATGTTTAGCAGCAATTATCTCCCAGTATTGTTGCCTTCGTGCTATAATATCTTGACAGGTCTTCAAAAGATGACCATGCTGGGCCATGATATTGGCACGCTCTTGTTGAGCCTCTTGTATCACTCGCGCAGCTTCTACCTCTTCATCACGAATAGCCTCAAGATTTGCCTCAATGTTCTTAAGATCATTGTCTAAACCCTTTAGAACATTTTGGATGCTATCGACTTCAAATTCCTCTCTATCAAAAACTTTACCCTTTATAGACTCAATCTAATCCTTATCAAAACCCAAAGTATAAGTATCCTTCAAATGTTCAACCAGTATCCTTTTGTCTGCCTTAGTGATTGTGAAGGGAGTCTTGGTAGTTAAAATGTTCAAGATATCAAGCAATACCCTATAGGACATGTGTGACACTCGAGCACTTCGATCTTTTGTAGAGAGTTCAAGTTGTGGGCAAGTCTTGAGTGCCTTTGCAAATATTAAATACTCAGAACCTTCCAACTTTATTGTTAGAAACAATCTCACCCAAGAGGGGGGTGAATTGGGTGAGTTACAAAAATTTAAAACTAAAGGCGTGCAAGTATTAAATAAAACCAGGGAGTCAGAGTAAGGAGAATTTTAACCGCAGAGAGGAGACACAAGATTTATACTGGTTCGGTCTAATCCACGTGACCTACTTCCAGTCCCCAGAACACCTCTGAGTATTTCACTATCTTCCAAGATCGACAGGGCTCTTGGTGCCTCGGTACAGTAATTGAATCGCTCAATCACTCCCCCTTACTCCCGTAAGGATACAACCCTTCTCAAGAGTCCACACTCTTGAGTGTCTCTCAAGTTTTTAATAAGAGTAGTGAATGGCTCTCTTACAGAGTGAATTCAATGATAAACACTGATGCTCAGTAGTAAAGTGAAAAACAGAGTATTGAATGCGTAACTAAATAATCGCAGATGGTAGCTCAGGTATTCAATCTCTTCATTAATGCCTCTTCGCGCCTTTTATAATTGATATCGTTAAATAGCCGTTAGACGGAAGGGCTTCTAGCCGTTGTGACTTCGTTTGCGTGTTTCACTGGTTTTAACAGCTCCGCCATTAATGCGTCTGAGTTTCTGACACTGTAGGTCGCAGTCTACGTAATCCCGTTGAAGAGCCGTTGCACTCGTTTTCATTAATCTGCATATTTCAAACTTAGAACAAGTGAGAATTTTGTGGTGAGTGCTTTAACCTTGAATACAGAAGGAAGGCTAATTTATCATTCAAGGATTTGTGACGAAATCATTTATCAGTAACAAGAACAGAGTGTCATTCCGGTTTGGTTTGATCGAAAAGATGATCGATTACTTGATGATAGATCAAGTTATCGATAAACGGAATGAAGACTTTTCGAAATAGATCACCAAAATTATCGATCAAGTGTTGGATCATTGACTCCAAGAATTATCATAGAAGAGGAAATCATTGCATGATCGAATAAGTGATCGATCATATAATTGATCGAACAGATTATCGATAATTTAAATGTTATTGAAATGAAGTTCCAGTCATTGATGATCGAACATCTTGTCGATAAATATATGATGGATAATATTATCGATAAAACATGGTTATGTAAATAATCAAGAAAAGACACAGGCTATTCGAAATGATCGAACAGTTGATCGATCATCAACTATTCGAACAAGTGATCGATAATAGTGAAGAAAGAAGTTTAATCCTGTAAGGTAAAGGAAATGATTATCGATCACGTTTTGTGAAAAACATGAATTCCGGGGAATTGAATGATCGATCATTTTATCGAAAAACCAGTGATCGATAACTTGATCGAAAATTAGTTCACCATAACTTAATGCTAATATGTCAATTCTCAGACTCTTTATCGATCACGTTATGTGAAAAACTTATTTAAGCAAACAAGTTAAAATTATCGATAATGTTATCGATAATTTAGCTGTAGCAAAACTGAGTAAGAGTTAAAAAGGACATTCATTATCGATCATGTGATCGATAATTTTTGTGATCAATAAAATTATCGATCTATCAGTGAATTTGATCTCCTGCATTCAGAGAGTTAGAGCATAAAGTTCGAGCACGTAATCGATAAACAAATGATCGAAAATATGATCGATAAATTTGTAACAGAACTAATGTGCAGAACAAGTAGAGTGTTACCTTTTATCGAAGTCGTTATTGATGACTGATTTATCGATAACTTGATCGATAAATACACTTCAGATTTGGGTCTCTTATCAGTAACTCGATTGTTTACCTGATATTATCGATCAGCTTATCGATAATTCCCATACTCTTATGTGATTTTTACACTAGCGATTATCGATCACTTTATCGATAAACTATTCATCGAATAGTTCTTCGATCAAAAAGGCTACCATAGACCCGATTTACACTTGATCATTTATCTGAAACCTTAGCGATAATTGATTGCTCGATCAGTTGATCGATCAAAATACTTAACCCTGATATTCTGACTTTGTTATCATCAAAACTATAATCCTAACATTTATCATATCAACTATTTCTGTGCTCCAGGAACCGTTGAAGCCTAATTATTGGCTTCAAGAAAAGAAGGCATCATCTTTAGAGGGGATAGAAAATGGTGACAGTGACAACTGTGTATCCTCAACAATATCTGATTTTGTCCCGACATGAACGGAGGTCTCAGGCTCCTCTTTCTGCAAAGATCTTTTTACTTTTACGTCACTTGGATGATGTGGCAAAGTTATCAAGCCACCTGTGAAGCCAAAAATAAGTAATTGATGATATATTACATACAAGACAATATGCTACTCCTTTTAATTTTAGAGTTTGTTGAGGAAATTATTTTTATTTTAAATATAAAACCCCAATCTTTTATGTGTCAAACATTTGTTAACTATGCCAACCGATTAAAAGTAAGGTATTTTAGAAAACTTAGAAACCATTTTTTTAACAAATAGTTAACTAAATTAGCTGTTTTTGATATATGTGAATTCGTTGTTAATTTCCTACATTTAGAACCAGAGAGAGTAATATTTTACCTTCTCTTTTTTCTTCCTCTTCCTTGTGAGCTTGTACATCATGTCCTATAGTTTCTTCTTGTAATTATGATTCCATCATGATTGTTTCTTTTTTATCTTTATCCCCCAGCTCATCCTGTGTGAAAGATAAATAAAAGCGAAAAGTTTGAACCATATTTAGCATGGATAAAGACTAATAATGTATAGGTAAAGGATCGTAGTCTCACTTTTAAAGATGCCTTTTTTGTGAATTAGTTCTATTTAGAACATAGGATTCTCTTCTTTGTCATTCTTAAAAAAAAAAAAAGAGTTAATATTTTTGATCCTTCAAGTGTGCTCTTATTTTGGTTTTGATCCCTCAAGTTTCAAATTATAGATTTTGGTTCTTCAAGTTTCATTTCATTTAAAATATTGGTTCTTCTAATACAATAAAAACTTGGACCATTTTGCTCCTTAAAGAACCAAAACCTATAGTTTCAAATTTGAAGGACCAAAATTAAAATTAGGACAAACTTAAAGAACTAAAGATTATATTAACAAAAAAGAAAAGAATTAGTTTGCATTTTGTAGTAGCTTTATTTACTTCCATTTTTAGGAAGAAATGCTGTTCTAAACTTATTTTTTATGTTTAGTTTGACCAATAGCTCAAATAAATATGAAGGGAAAAGGTGGAAAAATTCCAGCTAAAAAATTTAATTACTGATAGGTCCTACTTACGTATCATTATATTGTGGTATTTACATGTCATCCGGTGATATGTTGTCATAAACCTATTAATAATTTAAAAAAGAAATATATCTCTTTGCCTATTATTTATGTTATATATGAAAATGTATATGTTTAACTTTATAGTAATTTTCTTGATCAATGACCCAAATAGACATAAAATAAACAATTAAGGTATTTTCCTATGACATTTGAATTGGATGAAAAATTTGCCGCCTTTGGAATAATACCTCTTCGACAATTTCATTTGCATCCTTAGTACCCTAACCAACACCACATGATAAAAGGGTCTAGTTATGAATGAAAATGTGAATGCATGTCTCTCTATGTCAGCAGTTTTACTTGGTTTTAATTTCAAATATGACACCAAGTTGAAAGTTTTGTGCTACCATTTATGGTCAAAGAAATCATGTTTTGCTTTTATTGTCTTATTTTAATAACATTTCGTTCTCACGTTCTTATCATCTCCAAAATGCCCAACCCTCATGCATCATTCCCCTGTTCTTGATTGGATATTGAAAATAAGTGAGGCAATTTCATATCTGTTGGCCGTGATTGAGGGGAGCGGCTTTTCTCTTCTACCCTTACCATCCACTTCTCCTTCTTTATCCAAAACTATGCCGTTTTGGGTGTTAAAATTCAAAACTCTCCACTTTTCGTTTCTTTGTTTTTTTTTTTTAACAAATCAACATCTTTTACTTTAAAGCATTATTTAGTAATATCTAGTGTCTTAAAATAATTTTTAGTGCACCTGATATTTAAAAATATTTTTTAATAGTACTCAGTATTTAGTAAGCTGTATTTTGAACTATTTTTCAGTAGCACCTAGTATCTTAAACTAATTTTCAGTACATTCAGTATGCTATTACCTTCTTGTAATAACACCCACTATCTTAAAATAAGTTTAAAACACCGTGCTACTGAAAAAATACTGTATGTCCAACTTGCTAGATACTGGGTGTTACTATAAAGATATTTTAAAGCGTTAAATATACTAATAATTATTTTAGGCTTCAAAGTAATAGATGTTGGTTTCACAAAAAAAGTGCTCAACCTTTATTTTTAGGAGACTGGATGTTACTGAAAAAATAGTTTAGAATACAGATGGCTAAATACTGACCACTACTAAAAAATATTTTTAAGTATTAAATGTACTAAAAATTATTTTAGGATACTGAATTGATTTTTTTTTAAAAAAAGTGGGGAGCCTTGAATTTTAACACTCAAAGAGGAGGGGAAATGGATGGTAAGGGTAGAGGAGGAAAGCCGCTCCCGTGATTGAGTGAGCAAACACCCAACACATTTGTCATTATCTCTCCTTTCCTATTTCGGTATCTAGCCTTGTCAAGAGAAGGAACTCTCATTTTTACATGAGTTCCATCTAATGCACCTAAACAATGCTGTAACAAATAAAACACATATTATATACTTTTCACATATCTTTAAAAATTAATGATAAATATATAACATGTATGTCTACCTTGAACCACTTCCACTTATCATCATTTGAGTCTTCTGGTACAGGCTCTGGTTTTTTCAACAACATATTTCTAAGTCTCATCATACCATTAAGCACTAAGTTGAAATACCTACTAATAGTTTCTCCAGATCTTCCAAAGTTATGTTGTATCACTCTATTCTTCACATGATGTGCTAATATATGTACAAATATGGCAACTTGCTCATCTATAAGCATATGCTTACTAGGTTTGAGACCAACCACATCTCTTAGCATATAACATAGCTTATCAAATGTTGTCCTATTCATTCTAAGTAGGTTGAAACATGCCACATCACTAGTAGACACCATTCTCGTTAGATAACACCTCTTAGCAAAAAAGTCCATTTGGTAAGTTATGTGTTTGACTCGTTGTCTCCTTAACATGATACTCATACATATACAGAAAAACAATCCCTGCACTGCCTCAGCCATGCTCACCCACAAAAGCAACACACGTAATAGTTCTCTCTTTTCTTCAGATAATGCCATAACTGTGTAACCAATATACACATATAAGAACAATTAAATCACAAATCTACTAATGTCACAAACCTATTATTCATGAATTAATCCAAGAGATACTAAAAAAAAAAATCTCTAATCTTGAACTAAACTCATCCTTCAATAAAAAACCATATACACAGATTAATTACTCTAATCAGAATATATACACGTAATATATATACCCAAAAACAAAAAGAACAGGAAAAAAAAACCAGTAAGTTGAGATTATATTGTTACTTTCTGCTCAAAGTTTAAATGAACAATTAAATTAAATTTCAACTAAATGATCATTCATCGCTATAATTAAGCATATTGTGGGCGTTAAGGAAGCTTTCCCTTTATGCATATGGTTGCTGTTATGCCACCTGGACGACACACACACACATATATGGCCATTTTAAATTGGTTTGGTCCGAAAATATATATAAGTCTAATTTTCAACACTATTTCTATTTTTTTTTGGGCCAAAAATTACTAACACTATTTTAGCTTAATTAACTCGTCTGCCTCCTCATCAGTTAAAGAAACTAGAGTTTCTGGCAGGCTACCTACAGAAAGTTGGGGAACTCTACTTTCATGAAAAAATGAGGGACTCGCATGGTCCCTTTATATTCTTCTAACTGATAAAACATCAGGTATATATCAAGTACAACTGAAAATGCCCATATACTGTCATTCTGCTGTTTCTTATTTTGGAATATATTCTAAAAACTTCCTTAATTATTGCATCTTCTTCAACATTTTCCTGTCATCTTTTATGCACGCATATAATCATATATTACCTTCATTGAAGTTTGGGATATATATATATATATATGGTGCTTTTAGATTAGACCGATGGGTAATAATTAAGCTCCATTAACTTCTTCTTAGATTTTAACATATGGGTGTTACCGAAATATTTTTGAAATTGATGAAATATAAGAGGACCGGTTTTATAATTCAGGATATAGGTGAATGTAATCTAGCATAGATAAAATCGATTAACAGTAAGCAGGTAAACTAAAAACTACCTGATGAAGATAAAATCGATGAAGCACTAGCATGGCAAATCAGATGAGGGAGATCAAATCAGTAACTATAAAATCATTGACAAACTATTTACAATCTCAGCATTATTAAACGAATTCATGTTTGTGATGCTATCCATCTTCCAAATCCACCAAAATTTGTGAATCGAAGAAGATTCAAAAAATTGTTGATGAAAACTGAAAAAAATAGGGATAGCATTTATCTTACCAGTGATTGAAGATAAACAAAGTGTCCGAGAGCGACAATGTGAGCGATGGCGTGAGCAACTGATTGAGCGATGGAGTGAGCGACGAAGGAGAGCGGCGTGAGAAAGATGGAGATTGAGAGTCGAGAGGAGATGGGGCAAAAATGAGAGGGGTAATTTTGTCTTAACATTATTGTACTATGGGTGTTTTTGTCTTTTATGCTTTTTAATCCCTGGATTAAAATGGCATTACCGGGGGAAGGTGGGATTGTATAATCCTACCAATGTGGCATTAAACAATCCCTGGTAATCTTTAATCCCTCTTACCAAACATGACAATTTCACCCAATCCCTAGTCCATTCCCATTCCCTCCCCCTCAATCCCACCTACCAAACGTGGTCTCAGAGTTTTCTTTTATTTTGTTTACCAATGGGGTGGCTCATTTTTTGTGGGGGGAAAATATTCTTCAATGTATGCCAAGTTACTGCCAAGGATAAATGTTTAACTTTTTTTAATAGCAGGAATCGACATCATTTTTGACGTTATTTTGTAATCTTTTGGCTCAGTGGAGACAGATATATTAGTTATTTTGATTGCCGACAATTTCACTTATGAGTAACAAGTAGAAAGATCATAATCCATTAAACAGATGATTACTTTAAAGATGGCCACATTTATTCTATTTCATAATCCTTACTTTGGTGTTGTGTTAGATCAAAAATTAAACGAACAAATTTGTGAAGTTAAAAATGGATAATATTTGATTCATTAATGATTTAATTGATTTTTCCCCAATTGTCGGACAAAGGCAATTATTATTACGATCATCATCATCATCCAAACACAAAAGAAAGCTCTGTTTTACTTGCTTTAAAACAGAGGATGGTGGGATCATGTGTAATGTTGAAAACCGATTGGGAGGTTTCTTCAAAACCCATTCTTTACAAAGTATATTTGAGATTTGGTGCAACATATGGGACTCTAGCTAGGCCAAAAGAATATAAAGCAGATAAAAATATTAGAAAGAAGGCATTATAATGTGCATGAAACCAGATGGGATGGCAGTGTTCTTGATTGAAATTAAAAAAGGCATCACATTTTGGACCGTTCATGAGATCTGTCTTCCAAAACTAAGAATAATGAATCTTGGGAATTCAAATAGAGAAAGGTGTTATTTGCAGGAGGCACAGAATAAATTTTAACATGAAATAGAATCTGAATAATTTGGCTGTGCCATTGGGAATTCTTTATAGAGTGTCTCATAATAATTTTAGTGTCCAAGCCCAAAAAGGAATTGGGACCAGTGCATAGCCCAATTTAAAGAGCCTTGGACATGGTGCACCAAGTTCAAAAAGAACAGCATCAGATTTGTTGGATTGGGATTCATTAGATTGGACCAAGGAATAAGTAAAATAATATATCTTGCCTCTCCTGGAACTACTCGGTTTAGAAGCACCCTCACATTCATTTTCGCTCTTACAAGTTGCAACAGCAAAAAGAGAGAAAGAGATGAGAGACCGAGAGAACTGAGGGGATGTGAAGAAGAGATCGAAGTTGAGGCAAAGCTCTTCCGTCAAATACAACAAAACATGTAGACCAACGTAAGGACCTTAAATCTCATTCCATTAATACTTTCCCCCGTGGCTGTGTTCTACAAGTAGATGAGACGTTTAAATATAGTTTTTAGATTTTTCAAATCTGGAGTTTCTATTTTAGCGGACTATTATTGTGTGTGGCTATATTGTTGGCATTCTAAATATGATCTTCAAACCCTTTTTCTCATAAAAAGGACAGAATTTCCTGACCATCGCCACGAAACTAAAACAATCAAGCATATGGGGACCGATCGAGAAGTAAAATGATGCCATTAGCAATCAATCATACCTTGGTGAGGGATTGTTGGGTTGCTTCTCCCATGTTTAAAGATTGATATGAAGAAAGCTTATCCTCTGGTTTTTCTTCAACGCGAGAATCTGTTGTTTTAGGGACTCGCTTGAAGTTGGATACTTGAAATTTCTGAAAATGGAATTTTAAAGGTTATAATAAAATTCATATAATAATTTTCATTTTTAAAGAATAAATTAATTCTCTTAATACATACCATGAAAAGAAAACTTAGAACAATCATCCACTTTTGTGTGATCACGTCCTTTCAAAATTTGAAAATCAATCCCATAGCAAACACTATTGAGGTTAGGAAGATTCTATAGTATCAGTTGATTTAGTTGTGGGAGCACATCCTCCATGATCATCTCTTTCATCTCACCTCGTCTTACTAGTACATGCTCAAGTTCATAACCTCCTAGTATCTTCAAATATCTTAGCTTTAGAAGGATATAAAAAATAGCGATAGCAAACAGGTACCTCAATATGTCGCAATCACTTACAGAGACAACTTCTAAGTTGGGAAAACATGATTTATGTTGTGAATGATCATCATCATTTGTTTCATAATCTTCTTGAACAATGTGAACTAATTCTTCACAGCCTGATATATATGGTTCTTTCAACATTGGTAGGCTTTGCACCATAGATGTGGAGAAGATAACTTCGAGCTTTTTGCATCCATCAATGAGTAGCGATTGAAGACAATGGAAGCATATGATATGTTTAGGCCCCACACATGAATTCACCAACTTACTTAGATCTTACAACACCAATATTTGTAAGCTTGATGTCAGTGGTTCAAGACCATTCCCTTTCTTCTTTATGTGCACATAGGTCAAATTAACAATTTCTTTTATCTTGGAGTCCCAAACTTCAAGAGTTTTCAAAGTTTGTCCGCGCATCTCAATTGTCTATAAATTCCGTGAAAGATACATCAATTCCAAATTTATTTTTCAAAAATAAAATTTTAAATGGGCGGGCCAATTCGAAATATAGTAGACTTTAGGATGAATGAAACTATTAAATAAACATTATGACGAAACAAATACATTTGAATTTTGAATACGAATGTTCTTTTCAAACATGTAGATAGAAAATAAACTAAAAAAAACTCTTACAGTTTAACGAAAATATATAATTAGTGAGGTAATATTATTATTTTCTGCTTTAAGAGAAAATATGATGAAGTAGTGAAAAATATTATTAAAATACAACTTATCAACTAGGGAAATATATTAGGGCTAGTAAGAGTCATACCTTTGCTTCCAGTTGTTCTGTATGCCAACAAAACAAAAATTCTTTGAAAGGTATTGTAAACTCTGAGAGCCCCCTTAAAACAATGGACTTTGGAGATAACCATCTTAAATTGTAGTTTTCGGGATAAATAATTACAAGTTTTGGCACATGACAAATATAAATATCAATTAGAGCAAGGAAATCTATGTGGGTTTTGTTATTCTGATTTTGATGAGTCAGACTATCTTCATATTGGCTTCTTCCAAATACATATTTCAACCTAGGAGCCCAATTGATCTTCAAAGATTCCAAATATGTAGGGCGTCTAAAAGCATATGCTGGGAATAAATATTTGAGTGCTTCAGAGTCTAAAACCTGTAACCATTTCAACTTTGGAAAGATGGAATGGTAGTTCATGTGAATTCTAGCATCTCCCTCATCTTCTACAATGCATTTCAAGTTCTCACAATATTTGATTGTCAAATATTCCAACACAATTGTTGAGGCAAGGGATAGAGTTGACAATGATATTAAGTTCGTACACTTCACAACTTCCATTTTTCTAATATTTTTCAATGATTGAATCAGAGGGCCTTGGGTTCCATGGAACAGAGGAGCTCCATTTGTGGGTAAATCTACTTCCTGCAAGCCAATAATTCATTAAGTCTCATCTTGCAATAATACACAACAGTAATATACAATATACTGCCTAGATTAATTTGAAATAAAATTTAGCTTAATTATCATTTTAAAAAAGTGTGCTAATTATCTTACTCATACTATAATCAAATTAAAACTTAAGTTCAAATACGTTTTCATCTTATAAGCATCAATATACTTCAATCCAAGAAACAAGGAGAGCATTTTGATAGCTGACCTTATTCCCACAAGTAAATTTACTAGATTTCTCATTGTAATATGTTCAAAGCCTTTTTTCTAGGGGAAAAAACCCTAAACTAGCTACTTGAATTATCATGCCCTATCGTAATATTTGGTTAACAAACAATTAATCTAGAAGTTTAATATATAAAAATATTCATAAATGGTTGTGTCAAATTAATGTTTCATTTCAAAATGATCCAAAATAGATCGACATGCGTGATGTTAGATTTTCCATACGTGAACTACTGATCGTAATGTTACTTGTTCTAAATCGATGAATTTGATAGGATAAATATATTTATCTTGCAACTTTAATTTAGAAATCAATTAAAATAAACTTCTCAAAATATGTGATGTTGGAAAAGAAAAGCAAGTTAAAAGTTGTGTATGAGAAAAATTGGAAGAAAAATTGTAGACATATACAAGACATAAATTTATTTGTTAAGTTCAATTTTTATTAAGGACAGAGAGTTTAGACAATATCAAAGAAGGATCATAGTCCTTGGTTGAAATCAGAAGTTTTGTTGAGTTGATTTTTTTCATTACTCAACTTTAATTTTTTTAATACTGCTATTTTCAATGTTTTCAATACTTTCATCTATTTAATATTCAGTTTTAATGTTTACAATGCTAAAAAAAATCAGTTAAAAACATCAAAGTTGATGCCATGGGTAAGTGAACAATATCGATACTGAATTTGAAAGGTAGTGTCGATATGCAAGTTTCATTTTCTTAATATGACCAAGAAGGATAGTATCACATTATCAATTCATTTCTTTGATGCAAGTAATCCTTACAAACAGACATTGTTATTCAACAATGGAACCATTTAATGTAGTTTTCCATTCATGAAATGTTATACTGATGCTAATCAGTCAATGTTCACCGTAATGCATTTTTTTGACACAAAATATATGTACACACACAGAGAGAGACTGTGTGTGTCTTAAATTTTGATGCAGTCAGTCTAGCAAATTAAGTATCAATCACTAGCAAATTAAGTATCAATCACGTGTGAAGAAGAAAAAAGAAAAGGGTACTTTGAATTATTTTTAAATAATGTATCATACCAAGGATTATAATAGATATTTTCAACACTCAGACTTATTTTATCCAGTTGTAAATCATTCATATTCTTGGAATAATTAACCACATAAAATTCATTAGAGACATTTGAACAAAAATAGTAAAGCAAATGTAGCATACCAGTGGGATTGTGTGGTCAACCGGCCTATGTTCAGAAACAACAATATTGGTCTCTTCATTGGCATGCCCCAATTTATTAAGAGAACAACATGCTTGAATCCAAGAGAAAGCATGGGTAGCAAGACTTTGTTTTATCTTGTTAGGATTATGTCTTGAAAGTGGAGGTGATGGTTTTTGCGGGGATGAACTCGTAAGTGGTTGATGTTCTCCGAAAATTCCAATGAAACTCGGTACTCCGAAAAGTTGCAGTTCTTTTAGTGAGGGAAGCATAGCATCTTCCTCCTCTTGTAGCTTATCAAATATGTATTCTAGTTGCTGACCCTCATATATACTTAACTTTTCCAAAGATGCAAGACCTCCAACAAATAGGATGGGCAATATTATTCTTAACTTGTTGCACTTTGCTATTTGAAGCATTTTCAATTTTGGAAACAATGAGTCATAATAACTCTTTCTACTACTGTCACCATCTTCACCCACTATCATGTATTTAAGTACAGTGCAACTTCTAATTGTCAATTCTTCCAATTGCTTCAGACTTCGAGCAGCGGATGGCTGAAAAACTAATGTCAACATTGGACAATCTTCTAGTTGCGTGGACTTAAGATGACATGTTGTAGTTGCCATTTGATAATATGCTCCTTAGGCTATGACACTCCTTCAACTTCATAATCTCTAATTTCTCCAAAAAGTCAGATGGTGGAGGATCAAGACATAAATCTTGAACACCCACTCTAGAGAGATGTAGTTCAGCCAAATTAGCAAAAGCAATCACACCAAAATCATGAGCTTTGGTATCTATGAGGCACTTAATGTTACGATATGAGCTCAAAGGAAGAACAATCAAATCATTCATCATCTCAGGGATAAGATTCTTCCATATTCTTTGCAGATCATCTCCTTCCAAGATAAGAAGTTCAGCTCTTCCAACAAGTTGCTTAAATGTTGCGTCTGAAACTAGATGACCTGATTCATTATCTATTTGAAAGCATCTTGATATGGCACCATACTTTTCAAAATAACTTGAAAATTCTCAGAAGATATGCAATATCTATGTAATGTAAGAGCAGGTCTATCTTGAGAAATTGCATCTTTCTCTTCATTGTCACACTCATTATGAACAAAAGTTAATTCTTCTAGTTTTGAGCAACTCTCAATCACATTAAAAGGATTGTTCTTTGTAATTTTACATTCTTCTACCTCCAATGATCCCAACTTCTTTAGTTTCAAAAATTCTCTTGGTAATTCAATGATTGGACAACCATAAAACCAAAGAGTCCTTAGACTCGACAAGTTTCCTATAACGGAGATGTCACCTAGCTCCAAATTTGCTAGGATGAGTGTTCAAATATCTTTCAATGGCTGAAGTGAATTTATCAATGATAGAGCTGGAATTCCATAGACACATCCATGAACTAAAATAAAAACTTTAAGCCTCATAATCTTTTTAAAGAATATATTTGAGACATTCAAATTCTTTGAATCATTGAGCACTATTAGAACTTCCAATCTTTTTCCATCAAATTCTCAGGAAAAACACCATTCTTTAAAAACAAATATCTCAAATTCTTTTTTAAAGATTTTTCACTTTCATGAGAGATTGAGTATCTTTCTCTTCTATCCACAAGGCCACTTCACGAACCAAATCATGCATCTTTAAAAAGCCTTCCTCACTTTTCAACAATAAAAAAGAATATGTGAGTTCATTTATAGCTCCACCCACTTCACTTCTTACTAAATGTTATTTGTCATTTTCTCCAAAATAACCCAATCCTATGCCAGTTTTGGTTAACATTTGTATAGGAACTTGGGATCTTCTCAGAAAAGAAGATATCAAAAAGAGCTCTTTAGCCTTTTGATTTTTCAAGTTATCATAACTTAACTTCAGACAATTATAAGCCTCTTTCAAATTTTGATCAACAATATGATCTTCCAAGGTTTCCAAAGCATCTTTCCAAATTGTTATAGGTTGATTTTTTTAATGCTTTTGCTAGTGCTATAGTTGCAACCGGTATTCCTCCACAATGCTTCACAAGGTTTTCTACCACACCCTTCCAACCATGAGAGGAATCATTAATGCTAAAATGCGTAAGGAAAAGATTTAATGCATCTTTATCAGCCAATGATTGAATTTGAATTGTTACTTGGCATCCCATTGATGTACAAACATGTAAGTTACACGTGGTTATCAATATATTGCAAGCCTTGTGTTTGTGGCTTAATGGGATCCCTAAGTGTTGTTTAAGATGAAGCTCTTCCCATACGTTATCTAGAATTATAAGCAGCTTTTCTTTCATATTAGTGATTTTGGACCATATTTTCTTTGATTGTCCTTCTTCCTCTTCTTCTAATGTCAAATCGTAAAGATGCTTCGCCAAATCATGTCAAATCTTTTTGAAATCTGGAGATGAGAGACGACAAGAAAGATGACTTTGTCAAATTTGAATCCTTCAAGTTCAGTAACCACATGTATTGCCATGGAGGTTTTCCCTCTACCCTCAGAACATGCAATCTAGTCATATTGTAATTTTCATATTCTAATGTGTCTTCTTTAGGTCTTAAAACATTTACCTTCTATCTCAAAATGCATGAAATTGTTGAGTCTTCTCCGTCAAGTCCTTAACTTTCCAATATTGTCACCAGCAAATAAGACACTAATTATTAAGGCATTTTTCTTTTCTATTATCGAACTCAATAACACTTTTAGCTTCACATGTCCAATGCACTACTTTATTTTTTACAATAGAAACACCTCTGGCATTTTCTATTTTTCTATTGACATCATGTAGTTTTGCTTGTATTATTTCTTTTTATGATCGAATGTCGCAACATAACTACTAAAACAACATAAATGTTGAGCTTCGCCTTTCACAAAATTCACTAAACTTTGGACTTCGTTCTTTGCAATTTCAACACATATGGCCTCCATCTCACTAACAAGGATATACACGAAAGGTTGTTATAAATATATTTTAGACTAGGATTTTATTTATGAATAATGACTAGATCTTAAAGCTATACGTATAACTACAACAATCTATGATTTTAACAAGTGTGCAAATGGAGAGGTAAGGAGACTGATTAAAGCAATAAATGACTTTCAAGATAACTTATGAGAAAAAGACATGAGCTATGTTGAACACCCAATATACTCTACTAAAGATTTTCAAATATACGTTGCTTGACACTTGATGATTAAAACCAAAGAAGATCACCTATTTTTAGGTGGAGATTGTGTTAAGTAATTAGTGACAGTCATAGTTCCAACTCACGTATTTGTAATTGCATATATGACGGTTTTTTTCTTAAACCATCACCTTTTGTTATCAACAATAAAATAAAGTATTTAAAAAAGAAAAAATGACAGTTTTTTATAACAATATCATCTATTATTTCTAAACATTTCATCTTCCTATCAGATTGTTGAAATAGTGCAAATGATGACTATATAGCCACTAAGAGTGACTATCCATCTTCAACTTTCAAATACCACAATAATGGTTCTAATGCATTGTTTCTACTCTATTTATACCCCTCATCCCAACAGTCTTCAGTCTTTTTGTACCAAAAATTAACATCACTCTCCCTCAAAATAGTTCTATGACAAAAGGCTCTAGCAGGCTGTTCCCCAATTAGGGACCTTCTATCCCTTCTCTGCTACTTTCTTTATGCCCTCCACCTCCACGTCCTCCACCAAAGCAAGACTCTTGCCCCACTGGACGACATACTAAGGCGAGTCATACGCATGAACCATGTCATGCGTAGGTTCATCTTGTATGTCTATGACCTTAACTAGAAGTTCAACCTCATTTTACACCATAACGATGTTGAATACAATATGGATTCTTACACTTCCTCTCCAACCTCCAACGAAGACGATAAGGAGGAGGGAGAGTTATAAGTAAATAGGTTTTCTTTTTAACTTTTATTTTCTATTTTTTGTTTTTAGTTATTTCTTGTTTTTAGATTTAAGATGTATTTTGGATAAGGGGGAGTAGCCCTTTATTAATATATATTAGAAAAAAAGGAAATGTGTGTTGGTTATTCAGATAAACCTATTACATAAACTTGAAACTTTCTTAAATGGATAATAATCATATGTGATAGATGTTTCAGAAAAACTGTCATGTAAATGTGTTGTAGTTGATAAATGGATAAAAAGAATACATGTCAGTTCTTTGTGTCACTTAAACTTTAAAAAGTAATACATGTCGGTTTGTTCGCGAAAAACTATCATGCAATGCCCTCTCAAAACATTTTCTGCTCCCTCCAATCACTACATTTTCAAACTTAGTATTTACTACCTTACTTAAAAAGCTCTCTCTTGTGCGCTTTCATGAAAATCATCTCTATCCCCACCCTTTTGATCACATTTTTAGCCAAACCTAGCTCTATTTGCTACTACATGAACTACTTATGCTGTCAACAAAATGGTTTCAATAGCAGAGCTTCACGTCTTTTTTTTTAGGGCAAGTTCATGGTTTATTTCTCTATTCTCTGTTGCTGACTTCTGTACTTATCTTCCTACTTCATTCTTTTAATGTTGTAAGCTCTAAGCTTATCGTTCTCATTTGCTCTCTTTCTTTTCCTTCTATTGGGAGGGGTT